GACTGATAAATTCATAATTAATGGCATGGGTTCAGTCGACAGAAATACGGGACACACAGGCTTATAATAACTGCTGAAATGTTTGCGGGGCAAATCTGAGGTCAGTCTGAGCGCTCATGGTACGCACAGTGCATACAGCCGTACACCTGCAGGCGCAACTGACTCGGACGGTTGTCGTGGTAATAAACACCGTAAACAGCAAACGTTCGCGTGTCCGCGCTTAATGCGCATATCCTATATGAAAAGCATTTTAGGGGGCCCTTGGCTTTTGGGGGCCCAAGGCGGTCGCCTACCTTTGCCTAATGGGTAAGTCCTCCCCTGCCCTCTCGTTCACTGATCTGCTCCCCGCTATGCTCTGCTCCCATGCTCTGATAATAATAGCTTTGTAGGACTATACATTATTTGGATAAATAGTAGTTATATCTGATCCTGTTGCATAGAACTGAATAAAAATAATATATTGATATTTAATATTAATATATTTTCTGTCCAATTGTATTGTTACTTTCAATAAAAGTGTGGTTATTTTGGCTTGTGTTTTTTAAACTCAGTATCATTTAAATTATTGAGTTAAATTAAAAAGACTTACAAAATATTATTTCATAAAATAATAAATAATTACTAAAGCATTTTCGGTGCATCCCTATTAATCAGTAATACAGCTAATACTAATATGACTTTAAGGATCTTAAGGATATTTGCCAGTGTTTATAACTGTGGATCGCTCATTTCTTCAGCTATGATTTCTGATATGGACTGAACTGCATCAACATGATTTTGAGATACGACTGCCTCTTATGTCACTGAACACTGAACTCATTAAATGTCATAACACATACAAGACTAAATATTACAATGAGACCACATAAACACAGTTCATCAATAATATTTCTAGATTTAAACATCTGAATACTATCTGTTTGGCCAGTGACACCTAATAAACCCACTCTCTCAAATCATAATGTCTAAAACCTGGCAAATTACGGTCACATCATAACCAAATATTAAGAAACACAGTTGTAATCTACAATGATTGGCATGGTGGTAATGACAGCAGTGTTCGGTACAGTGATTCAAATTAATATATGATGTGAAAATGATTTTATGCTTTTATGAAAATGCAAGCAAGGCAAAATTACCCCAGTTTTAACACTTTTTATAAATTAAAAGTCTGGGTCGACAGACAAGACCAACAGAAACATGGCAAATGTAAACATTTAAAGGAGGAAAAAGTAATTATAACCTATCATTTAAATGAAAAAGCATACATTTACAATGACCCCAGGGGACAGAAAAGGTCGCCAAATTTAGGAAACCCCATCTTATGATGAATGGCCCAGCAAAGTCAAGCTTTTCTGGAGAATCAACCAGTCGATTCAAGTTGTCAACGGATCTATTTGACACCCAAACCAGCTCTCGGTCAGCTTGACAGCCGTATCGATCGAGTAGCAGCTACTAGCTGCCATACAATGTTTCTCTTTCCCCGCCGCGCCATTATATTTCATCCCTGCTCGCTCAAATACAGCATTTACACCGGAATCTATAAGACAGCGACGTGTTATAGTTTTCTGAGCTGCCATACAATGTTTCTCTTTCCCCGCCGCGCCATTATATTTGATCCCTGCTCGCTCAAATACAGCATTTACACCGGAATCTATAAGACAGCGACGTGTTATAGTTTTCTGTTTCTCCGTTCATAGCGTACAGAGCCTAGCAGCCCTGAACGTGGGCCACACTGACAGCCATGGCTCTGTTTTATCAACAACGGCTTTGATCACGACACCGCGAGCGCATTTCCAGCCCGTCACGGCAGCAGAAACGCGCGTTAAACGCCCAAAGCGCAACAGTATCGGAAGTATCTGCTATCTCGGATATATTTGCAGCGGTTTAGCGAGTGCTGTAAGGGATCCTTACCATTCTGTCGCCGGGGTTGTCTTCGCCTTGCGCAGAATCTCGCGGAACTGAACGGGCGCTCTCGGTGACGGTTATTTTTCTGGGCGAGGAAGTCGCAGTAGCGCGTCGCTCGGATTTTGTCCTCGGGCTTTCAGTCGACGGATGACGGATTGACTGCAGTGGCTTCGGTAGGTCCGCAGCGGAGGGGTAAGAGGCAGTGGGTTGAGGTGGTGGTGGAGACTGGAGAGAGAAAGAGAGGGAGGGAGCGAGCCGAGCGGAGGGGGGAGGGGCATTAGAACAGCACATCCGGGTATTTCTGCCTTATTTGCTCTCTCTGTAAACACACGAGCATTTGCATCATTACCGTTAATCAAATGAGTTTGCATCTCAAGTCTGAAAGAGAAACCTAGTAGCTGACTTTAATGAAGAGGAGGGGATGGACTGGAATTTATTTCATACTGTTATAACTTCACAGATTATATAAATGTGCAAATATAGGCCTAATTTGAAATGGCCTTTAGTATAAATTCATGCTGAAATACCCGATTATGATATTAAGGTTATAATTTTTTTGTAGTTTGTAATAAATATGATTGGAATAATGGCGAAATGCAATCACATAAATACATTTTTAAATACATTTCATGCTTTATATGAAAATTCCTGAAGTTTTTTTTAATTGTTTTCTTTATTTTCTTGATTAATCTCTGTCCAAAGGGCTTTTATCGTGAGGCTTGCTTTTGTATTAAACTTTTAAAAGACTTTTGGTGACCATTCCTAAATAAAATTAAAAGTATAAAATAGTTTTTGTGATTTGTAATAAATATGATTGGGATTATGGCTAAATTTAAGACAAAA